GAACCTACTGTAAAAATTTCATGGTCAAAGTTATTACCAATTTGCCACAAAAATTCCTAAAAATACTAATATAAATAATACTAAACACCAGTAATTGATTTAATAGGCCTCAGTATCAACTCAGTAATGCATAAGCTCACTATGCCATCAGATAGACAATATTTTTAGGAACTCAACAAAATTTATTTCATAATTTTTGGACATCTACATTATTTTATATTAATTATCAAAGTTCAGCTCGGAATTAAAATGAAAAGCTATTTCTATTTTCCACAAAAAAACTAAACTAATTTTGGCCCAACGCGGACCACGCGGGGCGCGGCCCACGCGTGGAGGCGGGCCGCGGCGGGGAGCCCGCGCGCTGGCACTTTTGCAGAGACGCCCATGCGCTACCTAGTATTCGCACGGCGCTGTTCACACTATTCCTATAGACAGCAACATTGCAAGAACACCCTCGGAACCTCCCTCCTTTACAACGATATGGCCCTCGACCATCCCCGCACGTTGACATATTAGCGAAAACACCCCTAGACTATGAACAAAACAACCCGCAATCCACATTACTATTCCTATAGACAGTAACTTTGCAATGGAACCCTTGGACCTTTTTACCTTCGCACTGGAGAGGCCCCCGGGACGCCCCACGCTCACCGGCACGGTGGGCGGTGGCACTAGGTAGTACACCAGCCTCCAAGGACCCTTGCAAACCTATCTAGGGGACCAATGCTCACCTATGGGCCGATGTGCAACGATGGGCGGTGGTTGCACGAACGGAGGTGAAGCAGAGCGGGCTCTCCCTAGCGACGGGTGACATGCAACGACGGCAACCATGCTCCGGTGAGCCACAACGCTAACAGAACGATATAGATAGAGAATAAGCACCAGGGGCACACCGCAAACCTAGGCGAAATGGTGGTTTGGCTAGAGACTACCTGAGCAGTGCTGGCCACGTGCACGCAATGAGCACGATGACAAGCCGCAGCGGACACGGCCGCATTAGCGACAGCAGGGAGGCGGTAGCACTCCCACTAGAGCGTGCGCACGGTGGCGAGCTAGTGGTGCAGAGGAATTTGTGCGAGGTGAAGTGGTGAAGGCTGGCCACGACGCGGGCGGCGACGGTTCATAACGGCATGATGGCGGGCAAAGCTCCAAAAATTGGAGCTCGGCTGAGCCGCAATCAAAGCGGGGTGGGGTCGGCTAGAGAGGGGACGTGAGGGTGGAGACACGAGCATGAGGAATTGATGAGAGTTGCCCGCACTCTGGCTTCACCGTGATGCGACGCGACGGCGGCGGAAAACAGAGGGAGAAAGAGGGAAAGAGAGAGATGGCGCGGCAGGTGGGCTCAGCTTGTCCACGCCTTGGCAGGATGCAAGCGGCGAGCTCAGGAGGCCCACGCGCCGGTGCTTTGGATAACGTGTCCGCATGTCCGACCGGCGTGGCCCACGTGCGCGCGGCAGAGGCGACACGCACAAGGCTGGCAACAGTGCAGAGGTGCAGTGGACCGGCGCGGACGCGACGACGATGCGACGGCAGCGGCAGTGATGCGACGCGAGGAGCAGTGGTGGATGCGTCGGCAGTGCAGTGCAGGATGGGTCAGGTGGTAGCAGTAGTGGCACCGCGCGGCGGGGCCAGCGGCTCGCTGCGGTCGGCCTTAGCCAAGCCCAGGCGGCTCGACTGACCAAATGCGGTGGCACGGTTGACCGCACGGGACGCGTCCATGTGCGTGGCGTGAGAAGGCCGTGTGGTGACCGCGCACCCAGCGCCAACCAACCCGAGATAGTGACACGCATGAATTTTAAAGCGCTCAGCACGACCAAACGGTTGCTCCTAAACCTAAACCGTCTTCACCATGCTCAAGATGGCACATGAGACTACCAAATCGAGCTATAACACTACACCACCCCTTAACCCAATCTCTCACAATAAATTGCTAAACATAGCAATGTCTCTGCTGTTGGTGGACTTGAAAGTTTCTAAGCTTTTGAGCTGGATTTGATTTCCATTTGTGATTTCTAAGCTAGTGGAAATATTAGCTAGTATTATCATTTTTCGACCGCAAGTATTTCACTGTCATCTATAAAGTTTGTACTTCAAACTTTATTTAAGTATCACATACGTGTTCTATAGCATTTTTGCTTAATAAAAATTGGTTTTAAACCCTAAGTGATATAACATGACTATCGAATCCACTTTTGTTTCGCATTTTTGTTGATCGTTTTGAGTTACGGAAATTGATCTACACACTTTATTACATGCATTGACACATAAACATGATGCTCATGACATGTTTTAGTAAATGATTTACGGTGTAACACCGAGGGTGTTACAAATCTACACCCCTTAAATAAAATCTCGTCCCGAGATTTCATGTGCCTAGTGTGTGAGAAGAGATAAGAAATGCATTCTGATTTAAACAATTACCTCGGTGAAATAGAAAGAAGGTGGGGATAATGCTTCACGATATAGTTTTCTTGCTTCCACGTTGCTTCATCCTCCAAGTGATTTTGCCACTGAACTTTATAAACCTTCATCACATTGTTTCTAGTCACTCTTTCTTTTTCATCTAAGATCTTGACAGGATGTTCAATATAAGACAAGTCAAGATGGAGAGGAAGTCCTTCAATTTCCACCGCTTCATCGGGGATCCGCAAACATTTCTTTAACTGGGAAACATGGAAGATATTATGTACTGCTGACAAAATATCCGGGAGCTAGATACGGTAGGCAGCAGAACCACACCGGGCAAAAATCTTGTAAGGTCCAACATAACGAGGGGCTAGCTTTCCACGGACACCAAATCGATGTACACCTCTCATGGGAGATACCTTGAGATACACATGATCACCAACTTCAAATTGCAAGGGCCTTCTTCGCTTGTCCGCATAAGTTTTCTGACGGTTCTGAGCTGCCTTCAAATGACTCTGAATAACACTAACTTGCTCTCGAGCTTCTTTGATAAAATCAGGCCCAAAATATTCACGATCACCCACTTCAACCCAGTTAAGTGGTGCTCTACATTTCTTGCCATACAAGGCCTCAAATGGTGCCATTTGAATGCTTTCTTGATAACTATTGTTATAAGAAACTGTTAGAGGATATTTTCACCAAAATCTCTATTTCTAACAATTAAGAAGGATATAGAGAGTCTCTTGGCATTGCTTTAAGACCCCCATGAGACGAAAAACATCACATGTGCGATGTGCCTTATAAATAGCCAAACGGGCTGCCCGGTCGAGCATAGGACGGGCCCAGTGAAATTAGGACCTGCGGACACCGAGTCAGGCATGAAACACCGTGCCACCGGGCCGGGCCAATTAGGGCCACAATATTGTCCTTTGGCCCAAGCATGCACGTCGTTCCCTTTTTAGTGTCGAGTTAGCTCGATGGGACTGAAAGCCTTAGCGGGCTGGCCCGAGGCCTGCTTAGGCGCTTGCCAGGGAAGAGAGAGGCGAAGTCATGGAGAGGAGCCAAGGAAGAGAGAGGCAGAGTCGTGGAGAGGAGTTGATGTTCACCGGTGGTGTGGGGGGGGAGGAGAATAGCCGACGCTCGAGATAAAGTCGCGGTCATAGCTGGGGAAGAAAAGGATCGACGCTCATCAAGTCATCTGGGCCTTAGGCGGGACGAGGCCGCCTCGACCTCGAGTAGGGAGGAGTCCTCGCGCAGGGACATGACTCTGCGCTGTAGATCAAGGATGACTGGAGGAGTCCACAACGAGTGAGGAGTCACGTCGGGAGTCGCGCTCGCGCCTGGCGCAATCGTGCAGAGGAGAGGCCGAGCGACGACGTCTAGGATGGGGAATCGGTGATTATTAGGGTCTGATATATATGGGCCTATTTGAGACTACTCCACAAACTCTGCTTCACAAACTCCACCATGGAGTAGCTCCACGAAAAATCTGGAGTTTATGAAACTCCCCTTTAGGTGCTCTCACAACTTCACCTTTTTTAATCGAGCAGAGTGCGTGGAGCTGAACCTGTTTGGCTAAAAAATGTGGAGCGAAGCTGAAAACATGGAGCGAAGTATTCACAAACACCCCCTATATATAGGGCCTTTTGTAAGGCCAGAGGAAAAAAACGGGTTGTGACATGCCACCCGGCGTGCTATATCGAGTGGCCCAAGCACGACCCTAGCAATCGGACCGAGCTGGCCTGGGCACGGTCACCGTCGGGCCGGGCCAAAAAATCAGGTTTCGTGCCGTGCTACTGATCTGCGGGCTGCATGGCCCCTGTAAAAATGGATGAAATCCCCACCGGGCCGACGTCATCCCTATTACTGACTCTCTAGGAAAGCCCATTGGTTGGTGGATTAAGAAAGGCGTGCTGCCTGATAGCTCGGCCCAGATAGGTGAACTGGTGAGGGCCGCGTTCATGTCAATTCTCAATTCGGCCATTGTGCGTCAACACCTGTAGTGGTCATTTGTCTGTTACGAGTACTTGCTACACTGGCCTTTTGTAGTGCTTTGAATTCGGCTTCTCAGCTTAGTAGTAAAAAAAAAAAAATCGTTTCAGCTTAAACATCTGCAGAAGCTTCAACAGAAAAACGGATTCCCGCGTGAAGCACCTATAGAGCTGGTCAGCTGGAGTCGCTTTTTGCACTGGAACTCTTTAAGCGGGAGCAAGAAAAAAAAAAGCTCCTACCCGCTCCTCTATTGATCCTGCTTGTCAAAGCCATAACCAAAAAAATTTCTGAACCGCATGTCCGCCAAAAAAGTCATAAAAAGTAGTCCGCGTTGACATTATTTAAGAAATGATTTTTGTGTAATAATCCTATAAAAGACGCGCATGTTACACCACTCTTAGCACATTGACATCGACGCCGCAGAATCTGCAAAGGCCATGTTCGTTTCTCTTATAATCCGTCTTTTTTAGCTTATTTTTTCAGTCGGAACAGTATTTTTCTCTCACAACAAATCAATTAGAACAATGTTTCGACTTATTTTTTTAGCGAAGCGAACGGGCCCAAATTAAATTAACCAATGCAAAACCAATGTACTTCACCAATCACCAGGGCCTGCCAGCCCTGAACGTCGGGTGCAACAGCCGGCCGATCTCCACGTCGTCCGCGTCCAGCGGTCCTCCGGTATCGTTCCGCACGCGCCGCACGGCGGTGGTGTTGAGCGACTCGTGCTCGAACCCGTACAGCCTCAGAATCTGGTCGTCGGCGAAGTTGAGCGCGCGCTCCATGCCGCTCCGGCACCGCGATGCCTCGTAGCTCGCGTACTGCCCCCCGCACGGCTTGCACCCGACGAAGTGCGTCACCAGCGGCCACCGTTCGCCACCGACCCCCGGCGTCGCAGCATCCCGCCGCATCTCTTCGTACCTGTCCACGATCCCCAGCCAGAAGCCGTGCAGACTGTACGAGATCTCCAGGAACGTCTTGTCGCCCCACCTGGCGCGCTGCGTCACGAGCAGGTAGACGAGCGCCGACTGGTCGTCGGCCTCGTACGACGGCCGGTCCGAGAGCGCCTTGCCGAGGACCTTCCCGTACTCGTAGCGCACGGGGCCGCGCGGCCCCATCAGCGCCCACGCGTCGAGCAGGTCGAGCGACCACTGGCAGTTGCGGATGATGAAGCTGCCGGCGTTGATGCTGAGCCAGCTCTTGGCGGCGTACACCTTGTCGTCCCAGCCCGGGACGACGAGGTTGTGGCCCGCGTACTTCCCCCACGGCGGCTCGAACAGCATGTCGGTGAACACGACGTCGGAGTCCACCCACCAGAGGAGCTCCGTCTCCGGGTGCGCGAGCATCAGCGCGCGCAGGATCGGCAGCTTGGTCCAGAACCCCGACAGCTCGGCGTCGAGCACCGCGTTGCTGTAGAAGACGTCGAAGCCGTGGACGCGGCAGTAGTCCACCTTGTTCTTGAACGCGCGGAGGAGGACGTGGTCGCCGTCCGCGTTCCCGCACCGGCGCGGCGACGACCCGGTGACCACGAGCACCCGGGGTCTTCCCGGCGCGACGAAGGCCGGGAACCGCTGGTTGTCGTGGAGCCACCTGGCCCTGCTCGCGTCGTAGTCCGACACGGCTGCGCCGAGCGTGTACGGCGGGTCCGTCAGCTGGCGCGGCGGCGGGAGCCGTTGCTCTTCATCATCACTTCTGGCACCCGGAAGAACCGGAGACTTTGGCGGCGTCGATGATGTGCGCTCGTCCGTGGGCGCGCTGGAGGGCTCGTCGTACTCGATGCGGATGCGTGGGAGCTGCCACTGCAGGTCGGGCGACGTGAACATGAAGAGGGCGAACGGCGCGACGAGGAAGAGGACGACGGGGATGATCGGGACGGGGAGCAGCCGTTGCTGCCGCGCTCGCCGGTCGCCTTCCTCAGACGACATCGTCTACGACGACCGGAGGCCCGAGCTCGCGTCCCGTAGGTCGCTGGATCGAATGCCGTCGGTGCAGACGAGCAGCGCAGTACGTGCCAGAGACCCCTAGTACTAGAGAAGTATGGGTGATGCGTTGGGTTCGGAAGTTTCGTTGTTTTACTCGACGGAACACATTGCGCGCCGGCTGGAGTTGGAGTCTATACTGATGGCCGGCCGGCTGGCAATTTGGCTATCAGAATGGCATGTGACGTGTGATGTGTGTGAATTGAATTTCTATGACACACCGCATTGGTCCCTAATTCTGGTGCCAACTAACCCCTCCAGCAAACTGGAAGACTATAAGCTGGATGAGAACATTCATTCCGTTCCTCTTTAGACCGTGCCAGTACGTAAATGCTTCAAGTGATTTCAGAGAACGTAGCTGGCCAGCTAGCAAACTGCACATATTCCCGCTGTGTTACGCACATATTAGCCTGTCACGCACGATCCTCTCTCTCTCTTTTCCTGCTCATTTTTAGCAAACCTTGTCATCAGATTTGTTTGTTTGTGTGAATTGTGATCGGTTGCCGTAGCCGGCCTGTACACGGAAGCAAAACACAATCAAGGGCATGCACTGTTTATTTGAGTAGATCGAGAAATTATTATTGCACTTTAAAGATTGCAAGAGGATGTTTGGGTGACGTAGTTTTTTTTTATATATATAAAAATGTGGTATCACAAACAGGGAGGGCTAGCCAAATGTATGATTGAGATCATCTCTACGGCGACAATGTATAATCGAGGTCAATGATTCCTGTGAACAACGGTTTTCCATTGTTTTTTCAAGTTGGCCCCTATAAAAGCTGGCTCTGACTTGATCACAGAATTGTGGTTTTATTATAAGCTAAAAAGATACAGCAAAACCATGATTTTAAAAAATGTATGGTTGGGGTTTTTTAAATTCCAGAAATACTATAATTTTGAAAAAAAAAACAGTTTTAAAAACTACAAGATTTATTATATCAAAACATTCGGTAGCTTTTGAAAATCAACATATTTTGTAGAACCGTAGTATTTTTTTAATACTCCGCAAATACTTTGCATCCAAATAATATATAAATCGACCCAAAAAATTGAGTTTGAGCCCTCCGGAAATGGAAGTGGAGCATACTACATCTATAGAGCACGGGGCCCTAGCTTTCCGTGCCGCCATACGATGTCTGCCGATGCGTGTTAGCGTGTGCATGCATGGCTTGTTTGAATTCACTGGTGGATCACAATATGACCGATAATACACAAAACTAACAATTAGCTAAAGGGCTGCTAATTGTTTAAACATTTCCAACAACCTACTAACAACTTAACCGCAGGTGGATCCAAAGAACCTCTTGGTAATAATTAACTAATAGTTAGTAACTTTTTAGTTATTATATTAGCTAGAAATACTGGTGAGGTGGCTGACGTAAAAAAACACGTGCGTCATGCTACTTATGGGCCTGTTCGCTTGGATGAATCTGGAGGAATTTACGAGAGAATGAACAGTATTTTCAACTCCAAACAGTGATTTTCAGCTGCTGTTCGTGTCAAATTTAACGGCGCCTATATATCTTGGACATGTTTGATTCCATCTAACTGATAGTTAGCTATTATAAATTAGCTTATTTCCTATTTAAATCCTCATCAGCTAATAAACTAGCTAATATCTTACCTACCATCCACTAACAATTAGTTATTAGCTGATTTCTCCCAGCTAACACAACTAGATAGTAAGCTAGATGAATCTAAATAATTAAGAGCTTAGTAAGGGTATGTTTGGATACAAGAGGTAAAGCTAGTTAAAAATTAGCTAAAATTAGCTCTAGTGCATCATAAATAGGAGAGCCAATAGGTAGGTTAATTTTTTTAGCCAAGTCTTCAACTAGTTGTTAGCCAATTAGTCAACCAACCATACCTAATTTAAGCTAATTTTTAATCTAGCCACAACTAGTAACTATGTATGTGTATCAAAAAGCTCTTAACAGTACTCATCTATCCCAAAATAAGTATTATTCTCACTTTCCGAGAAGTCAAATATTTTTAACCTTGACCATATATATATACAAGAAAGTATTAACATTTATGATGCATAATCGGTATCGTTAGATGAATCGTTGAATATATTTCAATAATAAATTTATTTGGAGATATAAATATTGTTAATATTTTCTATAAACCTAGTCAAATTTTTTAAAAAATTGACCAGCACGTATTTCATAATAACTTATTTTGAGACGAAAGAAGTATATATATAACATTCGCAAATGAATCAGAAAGCAGCGGGCATCGTATGGACTAACATGCATGGGGAGTATGGGACGATGCCCCCCAAATAAAAGAACTAATAAGAGAAAGCATTTGCCCTCACATGGATGTGTATATATGTACATCGTGTATATATATATATCAAGAGTGGTTGACTCGAATGGAGGTTTACATATGACTAAATTATATCTTTTGTGTAGGCTGTGGCCTTGATGTATGATTAAAATTTAAATTATTGATGATATTAATTATTATGCCATATTTAAATTAATATTGTGAAAATGCTTTATCATTATTGGCCCTAGACAAAACCTTTGATGATAAGGTCATTATCACCAACGGTTTGTGGCCAACAGTACTCAAGTGCTCGTCACCACCGGACAAAACATTGATCCAGCGATGATGAGGTGCTCATCACTGCCAGATCAAACACCACACCGGTGGTGATGAGCTCTTCATCGTCGCTGGCTCAAACGCCGCACCATCGATGATGAGGTCCTGATTACTGCCAGATCAAACGGTGAGCGAGCGGTGATGAGTTCATTACCGTTGGATCAAGCGCCGAGTTGGTAGGGATGAAGTCTTCATCACTAACGGTTCAAATGCCGAGCCAAAGGTGATGATGAGCTTATCACCCATGAATCATATGCCGAACTAGTAATGATGAAGTATTATCACCGCCAGATCAAACGCTAAGCTGATGGTGATGAAGTATTATCACCGCCGGTTTTGAACCGGTGGTGATTGATAGGATAAGTTGCCCAAGGGAGGTGAGCATGAATTGGAATAATCTAAAGTTTTTGCAAAAATAAAACCTATCTCTTAGCCAAATTCACCCATTATACCTAACAAGTATTCTAAGCCTACCGCATAAAGTTTTGCACCCTAGGTTCCAACCCTACACTAACATGTAAATTCTAAGGATATAAATCACATGAAAGTAAATGCATAATATAAGAGGTTTTAGGTGATGATATTTTCCCGAGGTATTGGAGAGTCAACACTCCTCACTAGTCCTCGTTAGAGACTTAGAGCACCCACGCAAGGGTCTATCTCCCCCTTGATTCACGCATGGACCAAGTGCTCTCTAGTGGTTGATCCTTCTTCACTCCGTAACGGTGGATCACCACACACGTGTACACCTTCTTGGGCCTCTCACAAGTGTCATCAGGATATCACAAAGAGCCACAACACCACTAAAGCCGTCTAGGTGATGTCGATCGCTAAGAGTAACAAGCACATACTCTCACTTGACCTAACAAAGCCTAATGAGAATGGATGCACACTTGCTACTTTCTAAGCACTAATGGAGTCCTTAATCTGCAATTAAGATTTCTCAACCACTCCAATAGGACAAAACACTCTCTTGAACTCCAATGTATGTAGCTAATTGCTCTTGGCTTCCAAGAGACCCCAAATGTGGGGTATATATAGGCCAAGCACCAAAACTAGTTGTTGGAAACCCACTTAGCTGAAATCAACGCACCGGATTTCTTTGGTGCAGCACAAGAGAATTTTGGTGGCCTCCAACTAACAGAATTACCAATTAGTCATTACGTATGGAATTTTTCTGATGAAAACTCCGGTGCAACACTAGAGAATTCTAGTGATACTATTTGAGCTCTGCCAAATAAAACTTCTCTATAGCCAATCTCCGGTGCTATACTGCAGTGCATCACCGAAGAATTCGGGTGCCTTCTTTGCCTCTGAGCCAATTGCACACCTTCTTTGTGACCACATCGGAATTATGCCTTGAACTGTCAGAGCAAATCCTAGTTTGTGCTATGTTCCATATTTTTTGTGGTTTCTTTGGCGCACACACCGTGTAGAGCTCACTAGAATTGTTGTTTGGCATACAAAAATTGTGCAATCTCTTCCAATTCAACTCCTTTGAGTTTGGCTTTAGATTTCATCTATTCTTGGGCTTCATCTGAGCTACCTAGTGCTACTTTTCATTAGTGTGAATCATATCCACTCACTAGACTCACTTAGGTCAAGGTACATATTCATAGCCCTCCATATGGTATAGCCAAAGGAGAAAAATAAGAACCTAAACTATTGTGTCTCTCAACACCAAACAACACTATAGGGGCCCAATCAACATGCATCATTGTGATCTCACTAAATAGTAATGTTGTAAAACACACGTTAGTCACAATGATTATGATATCATTAATCATCAAAACCGAATTAAGGACCTAGATGTTTTCAGTGAAAACCACCCGTGAAAGAGGTTTAGAACCGACAAACGACAAAGTTTGTGCATATAAGTGTTTTCAACTAGTGAATTGTAACTGTCATGCATGATATGATAAGGAAGACACGGTGCGGCCTGAGATAGCTGGCATTTTATTTCTTTCTTATTAACTATTTTAACTATTTAATTGTTTTAACTACTCCTTATGTTGCAAATTGTAAATCATTTTAGCTACTATCATCTAGACATAGTGTATATTTAGATACATATCAAAATCTATGTACCTAAAGAACAAAATGACTTACAATTTGAAACGGAAAGAGTATTCCAAAAGTTTGATTTGTTCGAGCTATTTACCCCCGAAGGGGTAAAATTGTACCATAGCAAGGCCCAATGAATGTGGCCCAGAACATCAGAACTTGGAATGGCCAGGTTATATACATACACCACCAGGGAATTATGTTACAAGTCTGACAATGATTACACATGCATTCCCATTGTTTCTGAGCTTGCACATAACAATTAATTTACAGGAAGAGAAGGGGGCAGCTTGTCAAGCTATCTTGGCATTAGCAGTACGCTCTTGCAAGAATTTGCTTTCTGTTCTCATGTCGTAAGATGCGCCCAAAAACTTGTGAGGGATGTTAAAAGTTTCTGTAAAGCCAGCCATTATCCTCATATTGATGAAGCTCGATTGCTTTCAATCTGTTGTTTCCAAGAATTGAAATGGAAAATGAATACTAGCAGTTAATCACTAGCTTTCCTGTGTCTTGGTATCACTTGTAAAAGCTATATCATATATTTCGTTGTATTTGTCAACAAAGTGGACTTCAAGACCTTCTTTCACATTAGAAGCAAGTTCATCAAAATCCCTTCGGTTTGCTGATGGGAATATGATTGTCTTTACCCCACTTCTCCTTGCAGCAATGGTTTTGTCCTTCACCTAAGAGACATTTCAGTGACAATAATAATAGTAATATGATAATCTCACAGTAGGTTGCAAACAATGTAAGTATGCATGCGAATGGTTCAGAGCTTTTGAATGCGTAATTGATGATATTGCATAATACATTTATGAAAACTTCACCGTAAATGTTATGTTATGGAAGGAGGTAAATTAATTTAGACAACTTATCTAGTCGATCAGTATTAGGAAAAGTTGGAAAGTTCTATTGATTGTCTATTTCCTAGTTCCCTAAGTTAGTTAAATAGTACCTCTTATATAAAAGGTAATCTAGTCCATAATTATGGGGGCCAATCAAGAATCAACCTAGGAAAGGGGGTTTTTCCCACCCAAATGGTCAGAGCATATTCTAGATGGAGAAAGACCATAGATTAGAGCATGATCTGCCCCTATCTCATTGTATTCATCTGGTTCTATAATATGTAGATAACTCATAAATTACCAGAATTCACATGACATGGATAGAATATTTCAGATCATACTCATTTGAGAAGTCTAGAACCAGAAGGGGAGCAGGCACAATCATGAAATCAATATCAGTGCACCTGATTTTGAAAGACAAGAAAGAGAGGGCCAATATGTATAGCATGTAAATTCCTACCAAACCAGCAGGAAAATAAAAAGTGTTAAAACCATACCCCACCAATTGGAAGAATTCGTCCAGTTAGAGTTACTTCACCAGTCATTGCCAAGTCTTTCTTCACAGATTTCCCCATGGCTAAGGACAACATCGATGTTACCATGGTGCACCCAGCGCTCGGCCCATCCTTTGGTGTGGCTCCAGCAGGAACATGCAAATGCAGCTTTGACTTTGCAAAAAAAGGATTATTTGGTTCTTTCTCTAGTAATACAGCTCTACAAACTGTATGTGCAATTTGGGCACTCTCTTTCATGACATCGCCAAGCTGGCCTGTCACAACAAGTGTGACCTTGCCTTTGCTTTCCTCTACTTTTGCTGTCTCAATGTACAAGGTCGAACCACCCATAGCATTCCAAGCTAAACCCATGACCACTCCAACAGGAGTCTGATTGTATATGCGCTCTGCTTGGAACACAGGCTTCCCAACAAAATTACCAAGATTTGATGCATTGACAACAACTTTCTCCTCAGGCTTGTCTACAAGCACTTCCATAGTCCTATTTATGCTTTCATTGTTGGCCTACAAAAAAGCATTAAAGGACAGTTTAATTAGAGCACAAGCCTTAACAACACAAATCAGTCAAACCTATGCTAGTTAAGACATATCCATCTGCAATTTGAAATTGACTTGGGTTTTATTTACTGGAGATCTTAGACACGATAATCAGCCAGAAATGGTGAAGGAATACCATCTGTTGCAGTACATCACTAATAAAAACAGTGCCATAAAGGTTACCAGAAATAACAGCATAAGCATATCAAACTTCCACCGCAGGAAAGTGGATAATCATCACATGACAAGAACAAAAAAAAGTTTGATTTTTACCTGTAGCTTCCCTGTCTGGTTCTAACTAGGTACGGAGCCAGCCGTTAGTGCATGACATTGTCAACAATCAAGTGCACAAGGGGCCAGCATAGTCATTGCACATTTACCATAATAGAGTGCAAGAATTTAGTTCCATCTGTAGGAAATTACAAAGGTAGTATATTACCTCTGGTATCTTAAAAGTATTAGATAGTTTGGCTGTCTCTTCTGCAAAAGTTTTTGTAGGTGCTTCATTGGAATGCTCATTGTGGCCTACTTCCGACTCTGTTGTTAAAGGCACCACATTAATATTATCAAGAGAAAAATCAATTGGGCCCACTTCCACTGAAGCATCTTCTGCGATAGAATTCTTCGAGTTCTTATCTTCTACTTTTGTTGCAACATCAAAATTGACTGACTTTTTATCTGCTTCTACTACTGTGATATCTCGAGGTGGCTCACTTGATACCCCTTGACGAACAAGTTTCAGAGCTATCTGCAAAGGTTGAATCAGGGATGACAAATGAAAACGTCTGGTTACTGGAAGACGAAAAGGATGCAAAAAAAAGGACACAGTATTAGTAGCCATGTCTTCAACACATCATTTGCTGTCATTATTATTTGCCCTTTCAGTTACAGATGATCAAAATTGAAGTGATTTCTTGCTACCAAGTACCAAGAATGGGATATATGTTTAAAGATCTTCCAGTGACTCCCTTCAAATAAGTTAAAATGCACGCATGGGTGAATGGAACTAGTAATGTAGGCTATGAACATTATGCAGACCGTTTTTTTCTTCTTTTGAGTAGTGTTATGTGCATCACTTTTTTTTTTCCTTCGAGTGGTGTTATGCACGTCACTTTTCAATGTGGGCTGTAAAGTGTCATCTTGGTGATTTAAAAAAAAAGTCGACCTGCGGGAGGTAAGACAGCCTCCGAGCATCACAGTTATCTTGGTCATTTATCAAGTTGATTAATAACTTCCACAAACTAACTAACAGTAGCTCCACTATACCGTCCACATATTTTATAGTTTGCATAACGGAAAAAAGCTTGAAACAGCAACAGATCAAATTAGCTCCACTATACCGTCCACATATTTAATAATGTTTGTTTCTACTATGACTCTATTCTCGATAGGTTCCTTGATACAGAGTTTGACACTGCTCCCCATATTCTCACCTTCTACAATCATAATTGTGGTAGAAAACATAAAATAAATTGTTTCAATAATCTAAATTTGTGTTAGCAAGCAACTGCTAGAGGTCTCTTGCATGGTTGAAGATGTGAATATTTTTTTAAGCATCAAGAGGAAAGTGTGTTTCGTAAAAGAAAATGCAAAAAATAGCTAGACTCCACATAAACACCTATACTTTAACTTATTATATCTCAGCAGGATCTTGCTCTGATTTTCCTAAACTAGGACATCCAGGAACAGCCAACTCACGAAGTTCTTTGAACTCCAATTGCACCTTATGGCTGAGATAAATTAAAGGAAGTATAGGCCAAAATATAAATAGCAATCAAAGTTGTAAAATGTGTGAACTACAAGCTTACAGTTACAGAGGTCATTCTCTGTATACTAGATTCACAGATTCTATGACACTCTAAAAAGGAGAAATTTTCAAGATAACAGACCCATACAAAGATTCATATCACTGACTGGTGAGTTGCAGGTCAATCAAGGCCTATTAGTAATGAAAATGGCATATGCATCAGTTACATAATAGACTGAGCTATTAAACAACATCTTCCTTATTTTTTCCCTAAACTAGGATAAGCGACAAATGAGGGTTCGAAATTGTTTAAGATGAAGGCATCACTCACCTTTCGATAAATTTTTTCGATCTGTTTTTGAAGGTTCCGCACACCAGCTTCGCGGCAGTAGTTTTCAATAAGAGCAAGAAGAGCATCATTTGTGACCTCAACCTGACCATGTACTAAACCGTTAATAAATTAGCAGTAAATAAAAAAAATACAAGGCAGAGAAAACTTTATGAGCGCATTAGATAATGCATATACAGTTTATTAGTATTTTAACTCAGTAAGAAAGCTAGGAGGTCCTTGTTCTTTCTGTGACTTTTTCTCAAAACCTCATACCGATAGGTGGTTTCATTGGTTACTTCATTACTTGTGATAAACCATAGTTCATCAATGTGGTAAGCACCGCCAGGAGGATAGCCGGGTGGTGGCAGAGAATAGGAAGGAACTAAGATTGGGATGACGTTACCTGGGCAGCTGGGCTGGTGAACACTGCCAGTTCCAATGCTGTGTCATTATTTTTTTGGTGGATGGGTGTTGCCAACAGGAGGGGATTTTTTTTGGGTGCCACCAGGGTTTGATACCTAGCTGACAGCTTGCACACCTAGTGTCGGGTATCGATATTAGGGATACTCAAAGCAAGGAAGTTAGCGCCCACGCTGACTTCCTTGGATGGAGCAAGACGCATTAAAAGGTCTCGCCAGACCCCTTGGGTTCGTGCTCCGTCTCGCCCGACCCCTTGGGTACGGGCTCCGTCTCGCCCGACCCCAAGGACGCGGTTTTCGTCTCGCCCGACCTCGAGGCCGCGGGGGTCTCGCCCAAGGCCGCGGGCTCCGTCTCGCCCGACCCTTTGGGTTCGTGCTCCGTCTCACCCGACCCCTCGGGTGAGAGCTCCGTCTCGCCCGACCCCAAGGCCACGGGCTCCGTCTAGCCCGACCCCTTGGGTTCGCGCTCCGTCTCGCCCGACCCCTCGGGTGAGAGCTCCGTCTCGCCCGACCCCTCGGGTGAGAGCTTCGTCTCGCCCGACCCCAAGGCCACGGGCTCCGTCTCGCCCGACCCCTCTGGTGAGAGCTCCGTCTCGCCCGACCCCTAGGGTGAGAGCTTCGTCTCGCCCGACCCCAAGGCCGCGGGCTCCGTCTCGTCCGACCCCTTAGGTTCGTGCTCCGTCTCGCTCGATCCCAAGGCCGCGGGCTCCGTTTCGCTCGACGGGGACCCATACCGTCGCCAACCACTCCAGGTCCAAGCGTATAGGCCTGGATCAAAACTCTGACACCAAGGAAGAGACTGGCACGCCTCGATGTAACCCGTGGCCATGACGGGCCATACTTGAGGATTCACATCAAGAACGGCGTCGGGCGTGCCGGTGCTGTTCTGACCAACCCTCGTACGAACGCTGACAGGCGTGTCAGTTCACCACAACGTCCGCTGGGACGGAATGAAATGCCATGACCAGCAGATGACGCCTGCGCATGCGCCAGTGACGAACAGGGCCGCGACGTGGAGCCGTCCCTGTTGACATCTACAGGATCGGCGGGACCCGCATGAAGTAGAAGAAGGACGCGGCGATCCTGAAAGCCTTCTTCTCTCTCTCGTTCTTCTTCTTTTCCTCCGCTGTAACCCGCGCTTTCCCTTGGCCTATAAAAGGGGAAGCAGGGCGCCCCATGAAGGGGAGGGAGATCGGCACGAGACCGAACCACGAGATAAAAACACAAGAGCACGACACGAGCACACGGCTGAGCAGCGATCGAGCTCTCAGCACCCGTTCACTCCTTTCACCAGAGACTTGGGATCCTTTCCCTCTCTCGCCTGTTTGTAACCAGTACTGCAAACCAAGTGCCGGTAACACGAGCAGCAGCAAACTGGACGTAGGGACGTTCCGCCCGAACCAGTATAAACCCTTGTGTCATCCGAGCACACCATCCGAGCCAGACGCGCAAATACAAATTTACTCGTCGGTGGTCAAAAAAAAAAAAAAACACCGACACCTAGGGAGCTAACCGTTAGTCTATGAAAGTGTTTTTTTGTGGATTTTGATGGATGATATTACATGTTAGGAAGAATGACCCAGCATTTTGAGAGAGAGCCCATTATTTATAATTTTGACCATTGAGCTTCACATCCAGGGAGACAGGCCAAAAGAAAAGGCCGTAGGCATGGAGGATGATGCAGCACCACTAGGAGATGTAGCTGGTGGCGCCATGGTAGAGGCTGGCGGTGGAGAACAGACCGGCACAACAGATCGGCAAAATCAGCAAAGCAGCACGAACAGCAGCGGAGCAACAGAGAGGAGGAGGAGAGCAGATCGGCACAGCGGCAGAGCAGCACGGACAGCAGCAGAGCAACAGAGAGGAGGAGCACCACTGTAGGACGCAGAGGAAGGAGAGCCGCACCAGAGCGCCACCTCAATCGACGACGCAGAGGAGTGCGGCCCCTAACCACCAAGGAGGAGCAAGCAGCAGAGGGAGAAAAGGGGCGACCCTGAGGAGGGGCGCGGAAGGATGGTCGACGCTGCTGGATGAGGTCAGTCTCCGGCATCCATCAGTGCAGGGTGTCGGCTGCAGGCCAGGCTGGGAGAACCTAGCTTTGTTACCACGTTAGATGAATGACCTCACACCCATCCATTGAGTTTAGGGTTCTAGTATTATATATATAAGTATGTACCGAGCAACCACAGTATATATGACTTAAAGTCTATATATACATAAGTAATCTATAGGTACTATTATTTGCTCACAATATTCAGCTAACAAAGTAGTCCCTATGATGGGTTTCACTAGAGATTAAAAATTATTCTATCCAACCATCTCATGTACCTTCACAAGAGAGAGCATAGAGAGAGAAAATAACGTTTCTTCATTGCTTATGGGTAGTCCATATGGCTATAGGTACCTTTTGTTATAGACTGCTATATTTACTGCCTTCACAATGTTTCAGCTAACTGATATAGTATTTTATTTCCTATGGACTACTTTGCTGCCACATTGTGGTTGCCAATGTATATGGACCAAGTAGACATGGGACCTACATAACCAGTCCATAACTATTGTTTTGTTTACACAGTGTTTCAGCCAACAAGTTATCTATAAGGTGGGTCCTATCTGAGATAAAAAATTATTCATCTCTACAATTCTATACAAGATTAAGAAAGAGAGGGAGAAAGAAAAAAGTAACATTTTTATTCTCTATAGGTGGCCCATAAGCTTATGGGTATCTTTTGCTATGTACTACTCTATGGACTTAGTCTCACCGTGTTTTAGCTAGCTGGTAGGTATTATTTTACTCAATATGGACTGCTTTTGAGCAACATTGTGATTGCTCTAAGGCCTACATGGGCCAGAAAGAGAGAAGACATAGAAAAGCACATATATCTGTACATACTAACACATGTAACCATTTGTATTTATTACTAAGAAATCCTTATTAGGCCCTGTTTGGGGGAGCTTTCCAAAAACGCCTCCTGGAAAAGCTCGGGAAGCTGCTCTGAGGAAGCTTCTTTGCTTTTACTAAAAATTGCAGCTTTTAGATCTTTTGTCTACTTGAAGAAGAGCTTCTGGTTTTTCGAGCTTTTTGGGGAAACAACAGCTGCAAGAAGCTCCCCAAACAGGGCCTTAGTAGGGATGCCAATGGCTTGTGCTTTGCTTGTGTTGACTGGACAGTGAACTAGTTGCTCGTGCTTCAGCTGTGTTACTTATTCTCTGTGCAACATGTAGCAAATCATTTTTTTTTTACACTAATACATTTTTGCAGAGCTTTCCCTTAGTGTTCTCCTGAAAAGAGTATAGAAAAGCAGCATATACCTGCTCAGGCTTGATGCCACAGGCCTCCCTTGTGCTTTTTTCTAGATAATCCCTAGCAATATGCATCTTCTCGTCAGTTATATAACCGGCAATAGCAATGATTTCCATCCTGTCCAGTAGAGGGCTTGGTATCATCTCAATGACATTTGCAGTGCAAACAAAAAGAACCTAATTTCACATAAAGACAGATGTCAGCCTATAATAAAATTAACACAATTATTGTCCACATTAAATGGAAACGCTTATCGGTAAAGTTTCTCGCAAGGGTAAAAAGCTGTACTGTAATTATTCAATCATGGCAATAAGGTCAAAACGTGCCCGCTGCTCTTTTTTCTAGAAAATAGAATTGTTTCCGGCCTCTGCGACCGCACACAGGTGGTCACTGCTCATGGAGGCTTAATAATAAATAGATTGTAGAATAGCAACAACACAGCAAGCTACATCCAGGAGATAGTGATTAGGAATGTAGAATATATCCCCCTGATTATGAACTTATTCATATTCCTTGTCACACACACCATATTATGGGAATATTTACATATACACTGCTACTACACATAATGTAACTTATATCCTGTCCTTTTTAACTCCAATCTTTCACCATTTTGTCACCCCTTTGCCGACCCTCTTTGCCTTGTCCTTTTCTTCATTCATCAGCCATGGAGGCCGGTGATGGAAGCATACTCATAACAACTATACTATATCCAAACAAAGTGCAGCCTCTACAACCACCCACCGAGCCCAAGAACAAGGCCTAAGCCACAGCCATCATCTCCGAGCAAGAGGCCTCGACCACCACCCACTACTGCCCACTCTTGTGCAATGCCCAATGCTGTCGCGACGGATGTGAGTAACCACATGAGACAAAGAGGATGTATGAACTAAATAAACTGAGGTTCAGGCAGGCCTGTTCCTTTTTCTGACTGGGTTGGGCTTCCGGCCTTGGAAAGCCCAAGCTTGATTGGGTTGATCTTATTGTTTTTAATAGTCTCTGAGGCGTAACTATACTTAGCAAGGGGCAGTTTTGTCAAGGTGGGAAGCAGGGACTTAGAAGGTGAGAGACCATATCATCAATAAAGGCAAAATACAAAGGATACAGTTTTGGAGTGCAAAACATTGGATTATCATCTATGTAGGGGTAATCACGAAATGTCATTCTATAGAATGGCACATACTAAGTCCCTAGGTTTACGATGTTATTGTCTGGAATGAATTATTTTTAGTAGACAGAGAATGAAGTATTGATTTCGATTTCAATTGGAAGTGACCACAACAAATTGAGCAGCTAAAAGAGAATCACTTATTGAAGTACTGGACCAACCTTGGATAAGTCAACAGGGACATCTAGATAGTGATCAAGAAAGTTAGCATTCTGTTCGGGATCAAGAAGTTCCAATAGTGCACTGGCTGGATCACCTGAATGCCCTTTCCCAAGCTGGAGGCAGGAAACAACACAACCAGTAAGGTAGTATACAATAACCCGGATTACCAGATGAACCATGAAAATTGCTAATGGCACTTCAGTTCCTAAAATGAAGCAATAATAGCGACTTTTAAGTCGAAGATGCGCACAAATACCTTGTCAATCTCATCTATCAAAACTAGAGGATTTGCTGTTCCTACTGATTTCAAACACTGAACAATCTTTCCTGGCATTGCCCCAACATATGTCCGCCGATGACCCTAAAATGGTCTGAAAATTTTACTTGGGTAGCAATCATGATCAGTTAAATACATAATATGAATAACACACCTTAATTTCTGCTACATCGGTCAAACCTCCAACAGAGAATCTGTAGAACTTCCGGTTTAGTGCACGTGCAATTGAACGTCCAATACTAGTTTTTCCAACTCCAGGTGGCCCAGAAAGACATATGATCTTACCTGCAGTGAAAGAGCAAAACAGATATTTATTGCTACAGTTAAGAGGAAAATTGTAGAACCAGGTTGCATACAATTGTTGATTCGAATTAACAGGAAGTCAGGAACTAGAGGAGTATTACATAAAGCATAATTTTTCTTAATGCCTTGAGATCCCAGTTCTCCAACACCAGAACATACATTGAGCATCTGGCCAGGAAAAGAGAACTAAGAAATGGCAAAGCAGTTGAAGGAAAATGTAAAATTTTATTTCCAGCAAGGACCATGACTTTTGATCGATGTGTGACAAGACGAAGTATGTAATTCAGTAACTGTTTCAATTTAAGATACAATTAGCATAGATTTTAAGGCTTTATAAAGGCTGCCATCAATACATAGATAATAAGAGCGCTCATTCAGCATAAAACAAGTTTGGAACATTATAATAGGAAAATCATATGGCGCCCCCGTTAGCTAAAATACCATGTTACAATGTTTCAAAAATCATAAAAATAATCATGTATGTAGTACACCTAAAGTTAAGTGTAACCACAACAATTCAGTTTGGAATTCATCTTTGATGCTGAGATTGAAAAAACAGAAGTGTCACTGTCAGCACATGAACAGTGCCATGTTGACTGCTTATCTATTTTGCTTCTTGGATGAATTTCAAACTGAATTGTTGCGGCTATACTTAACTTTATGTGTGCTACATGCATGATTTTTGTGATGATTTTTGAAACATTGCAACATGGTATTTTAGCTAACGAGGACGCCAGCCCCCCTAGGCACCAAATCTGCACTCATTATAATATGGAACAAATCAGACCTTGTGAACTTCCTCTCAACTTTCCAATTGCTATGAATTCCAAAATTCTTTCTTTGACATCAGCTAGACCATAGTGATCTTCATCAAGAATATGTTGAGCGTGGTGCACATCAAAGTTTTCATCACTGCCATAGACAGAGAAACCAACACATAAGGACATATCTATCCATCCAATATATTTAAAAAAAAATACAGACAATACAAACCTGTAATCTCCCCAGGGCAACACGGTTAGCCAGTCTAAATAATTGCGGGTTACACTGAACTCACTGGAGCTAGCTTCTAACAGCTGAAGCTTAGTGAGCTCCTCTTCAATGACTTGTAAGACATGAGGGGGGCACTTGTCTTTTTTTGCTTCAATCCTTTCCCTAAATTTTTCTGCAAGATAAATAATGGCAAATCGATTTTTAGTTGGCACAGCAACGAAATACCAAGTTTTTAAGAACAAACCTGACAAAGCTGTTTTATCATCTGTCTCCAATCCTAGCTCCTGCATACATCAGGCATACTAAGCAATGAAACATTATCAAACTAGAAGCTAAACATCATGTCAAACAAAATGAAATCAACCAAAAAGAAAAAAAAAGAGTATTACCAGGCGAGGTAAACATCTAACATGAATGACGAATTATATAATGAGCATACTATTATGTATTCACGAACCAAAGTACTGTACAAGAACTCAACAGAAGAAATATAGTTTATTATCATGGATTCTTGATGGAAGCTGTGTATGAATAATCAGTGAGCTAGGGAAGAAGCACAACCGTGGGGGCTGGCTGGTGCCAGAGGTCTTGTGCCTGGAGTTGAGTTTGGTATAATAAGCTGTGTGTACTGCAAGTCGACCATTCACATTTCAATGGCACTATCATAATGTAATTTGTGTTGTATCCTAAGACCTCTTTCTCCTTAATGCAACGATACTCAGCTCTCTTGCATATTTGAGAAAATAAAAACAAGGAACAACAATGTCAGCACTACCTTCTTAATTGCTTTAAGTAGCTCATTCAACAGGTAGCGGCGCTGTTCTCCAGTAATTTTTTCTTCAATTGTTTTTGCTATGGATTCCTGATATGACATTTATAGAAGTATCATTAAAAATAAAGAAGGCACTTGAAATGTTGTTGTCTGCCTATGAGATCAGCATTTACCTGCAACCTACTAATCTCTAACTCCCTCTTTACCAACTCAAGAGTCAACTTCAACCGTTTGCATACCTGTTTGAAAATGAATGAGTTGGAATTTTGGATAACAGTAGAGCAAAAGAAAAAGATGCCAGGTAGCTAATAGATAATAGTTAATAAGTCAGATACCAAATGTGATTCAGAAGTAGTACAGAGATGACATCAAAAAATATTTATCTGCATGCATAACATGGAATATGTAAAAGGAGATTCCATGAGAACCCTTACATCTAACTCTTCAAGAACTTCCTGGCAAAGCAACTTGTTGGCACCTGAAATAGCAGCACCAAAATCTGCTAGTCTTGGGTAGTTGAAGTCACCCATATGCTGGGGAAAAAGTAAGAACATATTCACAATGATGAAGTCAGCCTAACATTTAAATGCAAGTACAATCTGGAAATTACACACAAGGAAAATATGTCATGAGAGGGGAGCAGTGTTGGTTTAATTTATTGACTAGTAACCGCATAGATGACAAATACTGAAAATAATAAAAAAAATATAAATATATTGAAGCCAAATACCCTGTGGTAATGATGACTATGAGCATCTACAGTGCCTAGTATTAAAATCTTGTTTATATTTTAACTAAACAATGAAAACAAAAGGTCAAACAGACATTAAGACTTCTATAGTGTCACTGCCACATACTATAAATGAGTGACAACACAGGGTTATACCATGGCACAAACACAACCCTTTAGGTTCTGTGCAGAAATCGCATATTTACATACAAATAAACAAAACTAAAATCATTTTGATTTACACTAAAAGTAGCATTAGCAAGCAAGGCAACCTGGGTATAGGCTTGAACTTGATCCTTCCAAAGGGAGTTTGTCCTGAGAACATCCCTTAAAGTGGATATAACTTCAAAAGACATCGCCTTTATGACATCATCATCCTTATCATAAGGTAGTTCCTGTAGAATGGCCGCTAGTTATGATTTATGAAGTAATAAGAACTGAATACTTTTCAATACTGAGTACATATTCAATTGGTGCCAAAAAGTGCCACACACCAATAACAAATTTCAAAGAATATTTTCAGCTTAGTAAGGCATGCAGTCACTGGAACAGGGAGCAAACTTTAGTAAGAGGAATCTCATCCATAACAATGCACTAAATTATAAACCCATCTGAAGCCAAATTTTAGTTGAAAATGCCCACCTTGTATCACAAGTGAAAACAGCTCATTTTTCTCTAGATAGATAGGAACAAGATTTCTTTTATCGTTTCTATCTGTCTCTTCAAGAAAAAAAACACGAAGATAATTTTTTATGGACTGTGTTGATTTTCATAGTATCTTTTATAAAACTAATAAACACATAGTCCAAGCCTATTTGAGAGTTGCCAAGCAGGGATGGAGGCAGGGGATTGCGAGGGGTAGCCCTGGCCCCCTGCCCCCCTTATGATCTATGTACTCCCCCCTTTATATAGTTTGTTCTGACTCCGTCCCTGTTTCCAGGGTTTGAAGCGTTTGCAGATTTGTACATTGATAACATTTTAAGATGGAGACACTACAATAGTTATGGTATATGTACCTTCAGATGATCAACCTTAACTGTAAGTGGCTCATCCACAACCTGTATAGTTTAGTTTTTATTAACATACAATGACAAAAAAAAAAAGAACTGTCAGAGAAACTAAATAGGAAGCAGTGAGGGGTCTAACTAACAATCTCAGATGTCCGTATACGATGGTGACCAAGTAGCACCACCAGATTTCCTTGAATTCTTGTTATCTAAATAAGAGTGAAAAGCACATTTCAAAATCATCAGAGAAAGATATGTCACCCACAAGCTTTGCAAAACTACCAAGTACCTGGGCAAGAGTGCCAACATCATGAAGACACTTCAACAATTCTTTCCCTTTCAATTCATGAATGCTATTACCTGATTCTGAACCAGTTGCGTTCAAAAAAAAAGTATCTGATTCTGAACTGATCAAAGCATAGGGGCCAGTCTTTTCCTCATCCTTGACAAGAAAGGCCCCAGCATATGGTATAGATCTTTTGCTATTTTCAACTAAAGCTTGCAACAGCTTTGGGTCCTGAGGGAAATAAAGGGCTATATTACCAGTACAAAGGCACAAAAACATAGAACATAGAAGAAGTGGTAAGTGAGGAACTGATTTATATCTTGTAAAATGATTCGCAAGATACCTTTACATAGACTGGCATGTAAAATCCTGGAAATAGTGGTCGCTGTAGCAAAGGCAAAGCTATGACCTATTTGGCAGCACCATAAGAATGGAATGAGAAGAGAGCCTGAATTCATAGCAGTAATACAAAACAACTCCTTGTTTGCTGAAATGTACCAGTATTTCATTAAATTTTGAAAACTAAACGTCAAAAAAAACAAGGAAAGACTTTTTAATCCAACTGGTAGGCTAGAGATGAAACCCAACAAAAGCCACCAATAAAGAGAATAAAAAGTTCTTATGGAAAAGGCTAATGAAACAAACTTGATAACTCAAGATTCAAGAAAAGTACTGGCATTTACTGATAAAAGTAGATGGCAGGCCACAAATTATCTACTAAAAAATATTCTTATGTGATAACTCAAGAAATACTGGGCAGTATCAGATAAAAGCAAGCCAGAAATTATATACTGAACAAAAGAAAAAACCCAGATGCCTTTCTTCTAGTGGCACATATAGCGAAACCTGATCTAATAATTTTCTCGATCATACAAGACAACAGCAAGTTGTAGACGCTCTGTTTTAACCTTTCCATTGAGTATATTGTTAGCAACAATCTCAAATAATTTGTTATCTAATTCACAAGTTCTGAGCACTGGCCACAGAGCAGTCACTTGATAACAATTTTTGCTGCCCATAACCTCCATTTCCTTTTCTCCCTCCAGACAAGAATACCCACTCTCAGTTAAAAAAACGACACACTAAAAAACAGCAATGTGAATTTAGCTAATAATAACAAAAATAACTCAACCGGTGGGGGAAAGACCGCCCCCACAGCTTTGCACTAAGAAGAAAGCTCAGCGAAACCTGCCAAGAAAACCTCCAACCCCTGGCCTCACACTGGGCTGTACCATAACTTAGGTAAGCAACCACTGCCACACCATTACCACATGTCGGCAGTGAACCACTATTGCAAGCCGGGATTTGAACCTAGGCTGGCTGGTACCATTACTCAGTGACCAGCCACCTCAATTACTTGTGCATTTGCAATTTAGATAATAAGTAATAACTAGAGCAGCCCAGCTTTATACAAAATACATAACCTGCAAAACAGACACAGGCTGAACACTTGCTTATTGTTAGGCGGTAGTCGTGTGGAAGCTGAATGCCAGAATCAACCTGTGCACATCCTACTAGAATCGCCTTTCAAACATCGGCAAAGCTCGCAAACCCAGTGAACAATATCTAACTATTCTCAGACAATGTTGCTCGTCCATAGCTTTTGCATGTGAGTGCATATTTGCATGCACATGAATGTGCCAAGTTTCAATTTTTCGAATGACCGAAATACATTTTTTGAATTGGTTTTCATGTTTCCAATTCTACCTAGTAGGTGGTTTCCACCATATATTTTGCAAAAAAAAAAAAAGGTTGGACAAAAAAAGGGTTGGACAATGGACATGTTTTGCTAGCAGCTGCAATTTTGTTTCTTCTCTGAACAGAAGAGAATTATGCCACTGCATCATATGCTATCATTGTACAAAAAAGAATATCACCAACATTTCAATATAGTTTCAATGTTTCCGGTTTCTAAGGTCTAATAAATCTCGAGTAATCCAATCTCGAGTAATCCAAACTCATGAAACGACGAGTTTTGAAAAAGAAAATATCATCCAACCGAGCTTAAGGCCCTGTTCGTTTACCGTTTCAGCCAAATAACACCATCAGCATCAGCGTCAGCGTCAGCCAGCCGAACAGAGCGTAAGTTCCGAAAACCAATCCTTTAGAAGAATTTTAAAAAAATCACAAGTATGATATTCTCCGAGAGTGAGATTGCAGAGCCGTAAAATCACAAGTATACTTATCAAACAGCTGCCTTAGCAGAATTTGGCAAATAATTCGAAAAAAAAAACGGATGACGCAAACCGCAGAGAATAGCTTATTAATGGCGATCCAATTGTAAGAGGACGCGCACCGTGTGGCAATCCTCGGGGCGGAGGACAGCGGGCACGATCGCAGAGGCATTCTCCCCCTCGCCTTCCTCCCCAGACGCAGCCTCTTCGCCCTCCGCCGCGGAGGACGCCGCTTCCGAGCCGCTATCGTCGCCGGCGGCGGAGCATATGCACACTCTCCTCCCCGGCACCGGGACTCGCCCGCACCTCAGTGCCCTGAGAAGTGGCGACCTCGCCTCGGTACTCGCAAGCGCAACCCTCGCCGCCACAGTCACCGCCAGTGGCCTCTTGGCGGCGAGCCGCGCCGGCAACCCTGCAACGACCGCGGCGTGCAGCATTGGGTGCTCGTGCTTGGGCCTTGGGGCTGAGAAGACAAGGAAGGCGAAACCTTCCGGCGCGGTGATTTGTACCTTCGGTTTGTGCCTCCTTCTCGTCGGTTTTCTTTTCTTTTTTTTAGTTGCAGCCTTGCAGGAGGTTTATGCGTTTAGCTTGGGAGAAAAGAATGGAAGGAGAAAACGGTTAATAAACCCTCGTAAAACCCATTGCTGGGTGTACCTTTTCTGGTGGGACAGCACACAGGAGAATTTGATTTTGAAATTTCTGGGAATTGTATTTTGAATTACCTTCATTAAATCAGTAGTTTTTTCATTCCTGAGAGTCCATTTGGAAGGAAAGTGGGAAATTTTGTCCTTTTTCCTGCGTAATTCTCACGTTCGGAAAGGTCCTCTGAGGAGATTATCACCCTGTTCGCTTATGCTAAAATTTGGCTTATGCTGATGTTTATGCTAAAATATTATGAGAGAAAAATACTGTTCTAAGGCTGAAAAGTAGCTCAAGCGAATGGGGCTTATTTTTGCTCATAACAAAACTACCTCGTATAGCATTCATGATTTTGTATTTTGCTTTAGCTTTACATTGCTATAGCTTTTTCATGTTTCTCACCATTCAGAAGACAAGGTCAACCTCGGTAAGAGGGTGTTCAGTTTCAGTGCCTTGTTCTGCACCCTGTTCGCTTATCGTTTCTGTGGCTTATAAGTCGGCTGATGCTGTTTTGTTGTGAGAGAAAAATAATGTATCATGACTGATAAGTATGGCTGATATGATCAAACAAACATGGTGCTGAATTTGTGACAGATCGTTGGAAGATTGAAATGCTCAAGGAAAGCTGCAGCGTGCAAATAGCATGCTTTGGACAACCAACAAAGCAAAGGAGTTTTGGGAGAGAAGCAAGAGATAAAGCGCTTCCTCCAGTGGTGTCTCGAAGATTGGCTTTGGTACAGTATACTTTCCCCCTTAGTTCGTTTTTGCAAGACATCTTTAGATTCGTCGTTTCCTATGCATGAAGAAATCAGTGGTGTCTCAGAGGGTTTGGAGGCCCCGAGCTAAATTCAAAATAAGGTCTAAATTAAGTACTCATCAAATTCAAATTATAAGTCATTTTATTTTTTCTAGGTAGCTTTTGCTATACATCGATATACATTATGTCTAGAGATATATAGTAAAAGCTATATATTAAAAAAAGATGGAATAACTTATAATTTGGAACTAAGAAGTAACAAACTAAGAGATGTGTTATGGTGGTTAGAGGACCTACCGAATCTCTTTTAGTCGTTGATAAAAAAAATGTAATTAAGGTCACTTTAGTAATTTTACATGGGTCATCAACTTCTGAGAGCTATGTTCTATTTTCCTTTGTCGCAAGAACTTGATCAGAACAATAGTAGCATGATTGGATGGCTGCATATGCCTGGCCTGGACCATGATCCTGGGATAGGCCCTGCTCGTGCAAATCTCCTCCACCGACATGGCTCCAAAGAAACGAAAATAAAACTCGTTTTCCCCCGTGGCCTGGCTCGCGCGAGACGCAATCTTGCGTCTAGCACCATTACTGCTGTAACTAAATAACTCTCTGCGTCTTGGTGCCGCTGAACTAGACAACCAAACAACTATAGCTTGTATGTGTAGCGCCTGGCCAACGACAGCCTGGCTACTAGATGCGGTGCGGTATGGCAAGAGAAGGAAACCAAACAGGCTGTAGGTTGGTGATAGGTGCTCGCCGCTGCCCACCTACAAGTCATTGGGGTCTGATTCGGCAATAAGGAGATTGCATTGAGGAGATTATCACCCTGTTCACTTATGCTAAAATTTAATTTATGCTGATGCTTATGCTAAAATATTGTGAGAGAAAAATACTGTTCTATGGCTGAAAAGTAGCTCAAACGAACGGGGCTTATTTTTGCTCATAACAAAACTACCTCGTATAGCATTCATGATTTTGTATTTTGCTTTAGCTTTACATTGCTATAGCTTTTTCATGTTTCTCACCATTCAGAAGACAAGGTCAACCTCGTTAAGAGGGTGTTCAGTTTCAGTGCCTTGTTCTGCACCCTGTTCGCTTATCGTTTCTGTAGCTTATAAGTCGGCTGATGCTGTTTTGTTGTGAGAGAAAAATAATGTATCATGGCTGATAAGTATGGCTGATATGATCAAACAAACAGGGTGCTGAATTTATGACAGATCGTTGGAAGATCGAAATGCTCAAGGAAAGCTGCAGCGTGCAAATAGCATGCTTTGGACAACCAACAAAGCAAAGGAGTTTTGGGAGAGAAGCAAGAGATAAAGCGCTTCCTACAGTGGTGTCTCGAAGATTGGCTGTGGTATAGTATACTTTCCCCCTTAGTTCAAGTTTTTGCAAGACATCTTTAGATTCGTCGTTTCCTATGCATGAAGAAATCAGTGGTGTCTCAGAGGGTTTGGAGGCCCCGAGCTAAATTCAAAATAAGGTCTAAATTAAGTACTCATCAAATTCAAATTATAAGTTATTTTATTTTTTCTAGGTAGCTTTTGCTATACATCGATATACATTATGTCTAGAGATATATAGTAAAAGCTATATATTAAAAAAAGATGGAATGACTTATAATTTGGAACTAAGGAGTAACAAACTAAGAGATGTGTTATGGTGGTTAGAGGACCTACCGAATCTCTTTTAGTCATTGATAAAAAAAATGTAATTAAGGTCACTTTAGTAATTTTACATGGGTCATCAACTTCTGAGAGCTATGTTCCATTTTCCTTTGTCGCAAGAACTTGATCAGAACAATAGTAGCATGATTGGATGGCTGCATATGCCTGGCCTGGACCATGATCCTGGGATAGGCCCTGCTCGTGCAAATCTCCTCCACCGACATGGCTCCAAAGAAATGAAAATAAAACTCGTTTTCCCCCGTGGCCTGTCTCGCGCGAGACACAATCTTGCGTCTAGCACCATTACTGCTGTAACTAAGGGCGCGTTTGCGACCCTGGCCCGGAGGCCCAGCTGTGCCCGTGGGCTGCAAGTTGCCATGTTTGTGGTCGATGGCCCGCAAGCGAGCCTGGCTTCGCAGAGCAACATTCGACCTCTCCTTTGGCTCTCTCGAAACGCATCAAACCCTCGTTTCTTGAGCCGAACTTCTCTGCTCTGCGACGATGACGCGGGCGATTTTGGGTAATGGCGGGGTGCTTTGGCATGGCTCTGGCGGGAAGAGGAAACGTCTTCGCGCGCGTCCCCACTCTCCGCTCCCGCTCTGGCCGCCGCGCGCGAAGCGAAATGGCGGCGATTTTGCCGGCCTTTATATACGGGTTCCCACTCTCCACTATCTCCTTCTTCCACTCGGTGCTTGCTCTTCCACCTCCCTCGTGAGAGACCGGCGGTGAGTTGTGGTGCGTGGCGGCGGCGGCGGCGGCGACCTCCGGCTGGTTGTGGGTTAGGTCACCGGCGCCGAGTTTCTTCGCCGCGTCCCCGCTCCGGCTGCTGCTGGGACTCCGTGGCAGCAGTGTTCCTCTTCTTCTCCGTCCTCATCTGCTTTGTCTTTTTCCCGATCTGCATCCTCTACTTCCAGATCTGCCTCCTCTCCATTGTTTGGACCCCGAGCCAAGGTGAAATCGATCCCCAATCTTCTTTTTTGTGGTGCTTCTTGAACCTATTAGGGTTTCTTGTTCGTTGCTATTCATGATCTGTTAGGGTTTCATACTTGTTATAACTACTTCATGCTCCTATTAGGGTTACTTGTACCTTGCTGTTCTTGATCTGTTGGGCTCGTGATCTGTTAGGGTTGTTGATCTGTTTCAGATTTGTATTGTACCTTGCTGTTCATAACTGTTTGATGCAGTTGTTAGTGTTATTTGTACCTTGCTGTTCTTGATCTGTTAGGGATGTTGATCTGCTTTCGATTACTATTGCTCGAGTTTTTGTTCCATCATTGGTCGATGATGTTGTCCACATAGTCTTGGGAGGCATCACATACAAGATGCTTGTTGTGCTTTTGTTGGCATGCATTCATTTCACATTCATGTTGATGCCTAGCAGGTACATTAAGCTGAAATCATGTTACATTTTACATGCTTGTAGATGAATCATCTTTGAGCCGTGACATGTTTGTGTAGGAAGGCAATTTGCCTTATTTGTTGTTATGGTTACCTTTGTATTCACTAGGTGAAAAGGAAAACCCTAAACTGAAACCCCACCGCTCGATCCTATAGCATGGCCCCGCTTAGGGATGAAAATGAAAAAGCTGCAGACAGAGAACACCGAGAATGATATACAATTCCACCGATTGAGTGTATTTCTATGATTAGGATAAAGAGACTTGCTTTTTTTAAGTTAGTGAGAACTTTTAGAGAGAGGAGTCTTATCACTGATAGGGAGGGGGTGTCAGTAGAAGAGCAGGTTGCCATGTTTTTATATGTTGTAGGGCACAACCAAAAATTTAGGGTTGTCCACTAGTCCTTTAGGAGGTCTATCCAAACTGTCCACAAGCACTTCCATCAGGTGTTGTATGTGTGGGTGAGCTTAGGAATGAAATGATAAAGCCATTAGCACTACCACTCACCCAAAGATTCTTGGAAGTCATACATGGAATCCATATTTTAAGGTAATTGTATACCACAGGTTCATTAGTTACATTAGACTGTTGCAATGATGACCCATGCTTTTTAGGATGTCATTGGCTTTATAGATGTCACTCATTTCCTAGCAAGGGTTCCTAGGCGCATGCAACAAGCTTTTAGGGGTAGGAAAAGGATCCCACCCAAAATGTGATGGTAGCTGTGAATTGTGATCTGAAATTCACTTATGTCTGGTGGTTGGGAGGGCTCATCCATGATGCAACTGTTTTTTTGACAGATGTCAGAGCTGAAGAAGATGGCTTGAGTTTGCTGAAGGTAATTGCACACCAACACTAATTACATATTCCATGGCCTATTAACACACACTCTCACAGTAGATGTCTTGTGTAGGTAAAATGTTCTTGGTAGATCTTTGGGTATGCATGCAAAAATGGTTTCTCTACCGACCTCTGTGGGGGTTAGGTACCATTTGTCTGAAGTATGGCCCAAGGAACAGGCCCACCAATGCAAGGGAGCTCTACAACCTTAGGCACTCATCACTTAGAGTGACTGTGGAGAGGGCTATAGGTGGTGCCTTGAAGGGCAGGTTTAGGATCTTGGACAATAAACCCTTCCACAAGTATAGGACACAAGTGAAGCTTGTAGTTGCTCGTGCCATTTTGCATAACTGGATCCTAGGTTTTGGCATTGATGAAGTAGTGCACGATGAGGAAGGTTTCATTACTTTGGCGATCAACCAACCCGTGTCCCATTTATCTGGACCAAGACCTCTGTTGACATGGTGAAATAAGGGATGCCATTTGCAATGCTATGTGGGAAGGGAGGGGAACAAACACTAGTTGATGTAATATGTTCTTGAATTTAGTTTCTGTACCCTGCTATGGAACTCATGTGTGTGTCATGATGATTCATTCTGTTCTTGAAACATTCTGTTCTTCATGATCTGTCAGTCTGTGGTTAGTTCATACAACTGTTAATATTGTTGTCAGTCTGTTCTTGACTAATTCTGTTGTTGATTTCATTACATGCCAGTCCTAGGATGGATTCAGGTGCATTTGAGGGTGAGTTTGTTGTTGGTACTTCAAGTGATGGAGCAGCTCATCAATGGTGGTTCTCGCCTGCTGTTGTGTGGTGTCGGTTTAGTGTGCTAGTCTTCTTGCCTGTATTGCTGGTGGTCTTAAGTCTTTGCTCAGTGCAACAAACCCCTGTTGATGTTCTTTGCTCCTGTAGCTGGGAATGGGGCTGTGCGGGCAATGAGGTGGACCAACACCACCTCTGGCTTTGTGCTAAGGAGGATGGCTGCCCTTGTTAATGATGGTAGCAGGCCTGAAAAGGTTTTCAAGGACAAAGATGTGAATTCTGTGGCCAAAGTCCTCAAGCAGTTCTGTAGGGAGGTTGTTAGCCCAACTCAAGTGTACAGCCACTTGAGGAAGTGGAGGCAGAAATGGGCTAGGGTGAGCAAGTTGAAGGACCTTAGTGCTGCTCTTTGGGATGACCAGGCTCATGCTATCATGCTTGAGCAAGAGCACTACCTTGGCCACTGCAAGGTAGCAGTTTGATCTTGTCTTTGCCTTGACTACCTACATTTGCCTTTCTTAAACTACATTTTCCCAACTCTGCAGGACCATCCTAAAGATGTAGAGTTTCTTAACTGCCCTATTAGGTTCTACACTGAGATGGAGGCTATCTTTGCTAATGCCATGGCCACAGGCAAATTTGCACTTGGGTCTGGTGAAGCCTTCGGGCAGAACCAGGCTGACAGTGTTGGTGCTAAGGCTGATGGTCCTCCTTTGACCCACACCACAGTTCCCAGTGAACAAGGAGGGAATAGCAAGGCCACTGAACTACTTCCTACCTCCTCAGCTGCTGGCCCAAAGAGGAAGAGAGGGAACTTCTCTGAGGAGGAGACGCTCATGTTGACTAACATGTCAGATGCTGTGAACAATGTGGCCAATGCTCTTAGGGAGACTGGACCTGCCCATGTTGATGCCAATCTGTACCTTGCTGTGATGGAGATGCCTGGCTTCAGTGAGGAGGCACTTATTGTTGCCTACACCTTCCTCCTGGACAACAAGGCCCAAGGCAGGGGCTTTGTGAACATGAGTGATGCCCATAGGGCCCTTTGGCTTAGGACCTTCCTGGCCAAAAACTACTATGTGTAGTTCCACTACACATGAAGGGCTAGAAGGCCAGGAGGGGTTGACTGTAGAGATGTATAGTTCCTCCACCCCCCCTCACCCACTCTCTCTTCTTTTGACAACAGGACCTTTTGTGCAGTCTGCTTGTTCTTTTGACACCTGACCTTGATGGTGTAGTTTGCCTAGGAGGGTGGCTAACAATAGGCAAGGATTTGGAAACATTTGAGCCCTTGGCTGTTGGGCTCAACTTGGTATTGTAAGAAACTTATTTGTAGCCTCTGTTGGCTACTTTTTATTTGATAACTAGTTGCCTATTTTTGTTGTTTATGCCTCTGGTGGTAACTGTGGGATTTAAAGGCCTATGATGCATAAAACAAACTTGAGGTGGCTACCTTATTCTTGTTTTGATGGTTTTGTTATTGTGCTTTCTTCTTTATTTGCCTATCCTTCCATTCTACACTTATGCTCAGTTGTACTCCACAGCAACAACATCCTCTTGTGATGGCTGATGGCAGTGAGTGCAACTGTTGTTTATTTGCCTCTTTATTTGGTTTTTACAATTCTTGGTAGCCACCAATGACTAAACAAGGAAAATAATAGCTGAGGCTAATTTTTTTATCAAGTTGTCGATGATGTTCACCATCATTCAAACTGAATGGTCGACTGAGGCATGTCATTCAGACCACTTACATGTTCTACATTTGGTTGGTTTCAGAGAATGCCTCCCTGCTATGTGGTCTTTGAAGGGAAGAAACCTGGAATTTATTTTACATGATATGAGTGTGCTAAGCAAGTGCTTAGGGAAGAAGGGGCTATCTATCAGAAGTACAACAACTATGATGATGCTCTTAGAGATTTTAATGCAAGGGTACCTCAAGAACCCTTGTTGTTACCAATTCATGCCCCTCATGAGGATGCATCAACATCCCATGAACTGGTGACAAGTCAAGGTTCTGAAATCTATCCTCATTCACCTGGGCTGTAAGGCTGTTGCAAAAATGTTGTCATCTTGATCTTGTTTATGGTTGTAGTTGGTCTGTCACTCAAGCTGTTCATGTGCCACAGCTGTTGTTTTAATTAGGCCGATGATGACACAATTGGATGACTGCATTAGCTGGCTACATGCTTTCTGTTAACTTGTTGCCCTTCTCAGCTTGCCAAACTGTTAAATGTTGTATTTTGACCAATGATGACACAATGGATCGATGCATTAGCTGGCTACATATCATTTTGCTGCCTCTTATCTGTTTCTGTGAACTTTTTCGTTTGTTGGCTTCAAAACTTGACTGACCCATGCTTCTGTTCTTCTTTACTGACTTTGATTATCCCATGTAGCCAGTAATGCCATGAATTGTTAAATTAGCATATCTGAGGCCAACTATTTCATGCTGAAACTTTGATTTGTTGTTGTAACGGTTATGGAAGAGCAACCTCATTCTCCTTTCATTCATGTCCATTTCTATTTGTTGTTATGGGCCTGGCCGACCACAGCCAAATGACAAACACTATCTCGGTGTGGTAGTTGGTGGCGGTTAGCCTCTCAGCCCGGCTGCCTCTTCGATGACAAACATAGTCTCGCCTGAGCCGGGCTCACTGGGTACACAGGCGCAAACAAGAGCTGTTGCACCACTTGGGGCAGGCCTGCCCAGGCCTGGGCCAGTTGGGCTGGCCAGGCCGGCCAGGTACAGGGTCGCAAACACGCCCTAAATAACTCTCTGCGTCTTGGTGCCGCTGAACTAGACAACCAAACAACTATAGCTTGTATGTGTAGCGCCTGGCCAACGACAGCCTGGCTACTAGATGCGGTGCGGTATGGCAAGAGAAGGAAACCAAACAGGCTGTAGGTTGGTGATAGGTGCTCGCCGCTGCCCACCTACAAGTCATTGGGGTCTGATTCGGCAATAAGGAGATTGCATTGAGTGAGACTGTTACACAGACCCTGCTCCACAAAATCCACTCCTTTAGCAGCTCAAAAAAATAGAGTTTTAGCAGCCCCAAACTGGCCCATAATCACTGAGCAGCAGGTTGATCTGAACTTGTTTAGAAAGCTGACGCACCTTTTATTGCTCCTACTATGACACTGAGCATACGCCAGGACCTTCCCAATTCCCCACATACTACAAAATGGGTTTGCTTCACACCAACAAAGATTTCTTGACTGCTCACTGTCACTAGTCACTGCTCACACATTGCATTCATGTCGCTCCTAATGTTCTATTCTGACGTGAAGTAATTGACTGAACTTTACTGAAACAAAAGGAAATGCATATAGGTAACTTTCCTGAATTCCTACCACATAATGGGGAGAAGAAGCTTTCATCAGACATATTAATGGTAATAAGTCAACTTTATCATGCACAATACGTCATGATAAGCATGGGTAGAACGAAAGTGGTATTGCTCAAAGTGGACCAAATCAGCTCTGCTTTCATGGAACCAATAAACCGCATGGAAACTGAATAATCCAGTAGGATGGCCTCCCTTACGTAAATTTTCAAAGTCAGCTAGCTAGCACCAAGAAAGCTCGATTGAATACAGGCACAGCGACCAGAGAGTTCAGTGGCATGCATGTATCGAACTTTGGAAAGGTTTGCTTAGCTCATCTTCACCCCCCCCCCGGTTATGCGTAGCTCATACGAGTATTTGCTAGCTAGCCAGCCGCATCAACAAAAACTACGATTAGAGGCAAACACACTGTGCCGCAATGATATGATTAAATAACAAGCACTTTGCGCTCCAATCTTTGCTCACGCACGGCACGAAAGTAATACCAGGTACCGCATGCGTGTTCTAGTAGTAGCTGGCACACTATCACTAATGCTTATTATTACCCTGAAAAAATTTCACCGATGCTCTTTAATATTCCTTAACACACTAGTATATTGTCCGTGCTAACGCTACGGTGATATTTAGGACAACACAAATTAAATATCAAAATGATGTATATGCTTTGGTGATTTTAAAAATCATCGATCACATATTATATATTAGAATAAAAAACATGATTATGATGACAACCTGATATACCAAATAAAGATTACTTGCATGACAACAATGATATCAGAATGCAGTGGTACTCTCTAATTACATTCCAATGTTTTCCTTTATAAACAATTACATTGCAACTCCACAAGTTTAAAACCACCACGAGCACTTTGTTCTTCTTGTTGCACTTTATCTTTGATCTTCATTTTCGTCTCATCTAGTAACTTCCGTGCTTATTGTTCTGAAAAGACATAAATTAAAGCTGTATACATTAGTGCAAACCCTAGAAAATGGAAACTTATTGTATATCCTCGACTCCTCGTCGTGATAATACAGGATGGTAGGAGGAACTTATTGTATATGCCATTTAGTTTTGTTTCACATTTCATATAATCTTATTAATATTAAGAAGAACAAAAAGGCTTTAAGTACTCCTACAGTTCTGCTTCACAGGGCTGATGAAGTGACATAGTTCCACTTCATAGTGCTTCTAAACACTTAAAAGCTATCAAAAGGAGAGATTAAATCAAGGGGGCAGAGAACATTGATTACCTGTCTCACTTTCAGTAAACATGTTTGAAACTGCAGTATCATCTAGACAGTAGGTTATTATCTCATAGATTAAATTGTAACAGTGCAGCAGTAAGCCATGTAGACTGGTTTTTTTTGTCTTTATTTGTTTTTCAGTCTCAGAGCGTATTTCCAGTGCATTCCTAAGTTTGTGTATGCCCACTCAGCTGCCATGAAATTTGATAGAAAGAGAAGGAAACAGAAAAAAAAACACTGAGTGTAAATATCAAATAATGTCATATCCTGCTAACTCATTAGTAAATAAAATAAAATATTATGCTCGGCAAGAGTATTCAATAGAAACGATTCTATATCTTGCACTTTAGCAAAGCTTATCAGCCATAGCATAAAAAGATCTGCATCTTAAGATGGAAGAAAGCATACATGTATCTTTGCCAGTAGAGCCAGCTGAGCAATCTTGGCCAGCAGATTTTTCCAGTCCTTGAGCCGGCAATGGCAGAACCACATCTGCAGTTGCCTATCTGTGAGCCCCAATTGCACGGACAGCTCGACCTGCATCATCTCGTTTGGATATGAATCCTCTGCACCAACACAATGCAAACAAAATCCCCATGAAAACCACATGTCGATCAAATACTCACAAAACAAACCCGAAACATTCCGAATGATCAAATACTTTGTTAACAGACTCTGTCAAAGCACTGTAAACATGTCTCTGAGTGGTCTTACAATTGCGATATTCAAGTTCACATAACTGACAAAAACATATTTTGAACTATGTTAAAAGACCCAGAAACAATTAGAAGAGAAAATAAACCTTTTCATGCAGTTGCTCTGTTATTGCAACTTTATAATATGGAAGATCCTCTGAGAAAAGTAAACCTGCAATTAATTTTAGCGCCCTCTCCACCCTATCAGATAATTATTGCATCAGAGAACCATTCATTCAACACAAGCAACCAATGTTTTTCTATGATGGGCAAATAGTATGTTATGAAATATAAGCATATTAATTGCTTAACTCATGGAAGGAAAATAAAATGAGGTTGACTCAAACCTGTTGCTGCCTCTTGTATCCTTGTGCCTGCAGCCACCATCCATGCGTACGTGTAGTCTCCCTTGTAGTGCCGAAATTGAATACAGCACATTGGCATCATCAACATGCTAAAATCGGATGAAGAAGCCCAACAACCCTAACCCAAATGGGCATAACAGCAATCTATATCCAAACAACCTGATTGTACAGGCCTGCAGCTGGTTCCAGCGCTGGACCCTTTCCCAACCTTAACGTAATGAGAAAATTAAAAAAAATGAAATTGAATATATCAATCAATAATCAAACATACGGAATCATCTAACCTGGGCAGTGACAAATACATGAACCTTACAAAATATATGCTGTAAAAAGATTCATCTCAGTCCATAGCTTCTTTTCACCAATTTTGTACATATCTGAGGGGCTTGAATTTACCTAGCAGAGAAGTAGTGTATCATCATACAGACGGTTG